ATGGTTGGAGTTCTAAATTATGTGTAACAGAAGCAGTGGCCTGGTGCGATATCTACATTTAGCCAGAGAGTTGGCCTAATTGCCAAAGTATATTGAATTAGTCTGTGCTTTGCATTAGCTTCACAGCAGGTTTCTGACAAGGTTGTTTTAGACCCAGCTGTGTGATGTAATTGGTTTACTAAATCCAGTAAAATGGTTGACTCAAGCTGCAATCATAAACACATTTATGATGGCGTAAACCTCAGTGAGCATGTGGCTTACTTCCGACTAAACATTCATAGGATTGCTCTGTCACATTGAGCTGGCAACCTCTGTGTACCTGGACTGTGCTACACTCTTCTACATTGTCTGGTATTATACTCTATTAGTGCATGTAACTCCTCATTAAATTCTAATGAATTTATATTAGTAAGCAAATTAGTAGATTTGGTTGTAATCTACACTTGCAAGTAAATCCAGAAATGTCAGTAGTCCACATTCAGTTTTAATTCCTGCTTGCCTATGTATAGAAATGTTTGACTACTGTGACATGATGATGGCGTGTGAGAGAAAACATGAAGATCCTGGAGCCTCTTCACTTCCTTTTCTGTTGACAAGTGCCTGTTGACAAGCCTCTTGTGTTAAAATACAGACCCTGGGTTCTATCCAACATCTAGTCTAAGTGGCACTAATTGAAATTAATGCGCATTACAGTGGTGCCTCGCAAGACAAAATTAATTCGTTCCGCAAGTTTTTTCTTCTTGAGAGTTTTTCGTCTTGCGAAGCACGGTTTCCCATAGGAATGCATTGAAAATCAATCAATGCGTTCCTATGGAAACCGACTTCAGACCAGGTCCGGGGACAGTCTGTCCCCCGACCTCTTCTGAAGGCTGGGGGGGGGACAAGGGCTTTTCTTCCCACCCCCAGCATTTTAAAAAACCCCGGGACAGCGGAGACTTCTCCGCTGTCCCGGGGCGATTTAAAAGCCCCCGGGAAGGCAGGCAGGGGGGAGCAAAGACTTTTGCCCCCCGCCTGCCTTCAAAAGCCGTCTGGGATAGCGGAGAAACGAAGGCTGGCGGCGGGAGGAGGTCTCTCTGCCCCGCCGCCAGCCTTCAGAGGAGGTCCGAGGACAGTGGGGAAGACGCGCTGCGCTTCCCCGCTGTCCCGGAGATTTCCCTATGGGCTTTCGTCTTGCGAAGGAAGCCCATAGGGAAATTCGTTTTGCAAAGCGCCTCCAAAACGGAAAACCCTTTCGTCTAGCGGGTTTTCCGTCTTGCGAGGCGTTCGTCTTGCGGGGCACCACTGTATTATTAATTTAGATATAGTAATTTCAGTGGTTCTACTGAGAGTAAATGTTAGCTGGATACAACTCCTTAGATTTAAATTAAAACTTCATATTCATGTCTGCCCTCATTAACTCAAAATTATCCTGAAGTCTATCTTACTGACTTAAGAAAATTATAATGCCTTGCTTATTTTGTAACTGTTGCCTTTAATTATCTTCCCTTTTTCTATTTTTAATTATAACTATTTAATGTGTTCCAGTCATTGCCAATGATGGGGAAGAAATACACCACAGATTTTCAATAGAAATACGTAGACCTAAATTTAATGTTTAATGAAGAAGACACTGAGACCAGGGGGTGATGGTGGGATGCCCATGGTACTCTGTGTTACCTAGGTGCCTCATGTTTCCCAGAAATATTTATTGGCATTTGAGCAGTTAGATATTAAACATCAAAGGGAGAGATCCAGAGGTGTCTGCCCTGCTCTGCACACCCAAAATCTTTTGTGGGGGATTGGAGAAGGGATGTGAAGAGAATGAGGAAGACTCATGCAAGTGGATGCTTATTCACATGAGGCTGATGCCACCCAAGAGTTGTAGGAAGCTGTGTTGGTTCATTAGTATAGTAGCCTTACTGAAAGCAACAAAAAGCCATTCTAAAAACCCTTCAAAGCCCAGGAAAACAAGATGTTCTTTTGTCCTAAAGAATATCAGGGGAACTGGTAGTGAATAGCTGAGGGACCACCACTGAGAAGGTCCTATCCCAGGTAGCCACCCATCACCTCTCAAAAGGGGCAGTAACTCGGTTGGACCTTTGATCTTAGTAACTGGGCAGGTTTACACAAGAGTTGACAGTTCTTGAAATATCCTGTTCCCAGACAGCGTGGGACTGTGAAGCTCAAAACTAGTCAACTGTGAAACTCATTAAGTAATTTTGATATTACTTTACTAATTGAGTTATAGAGCTATATTGCTTATAGAAATTGTGCCTTTTAGCTGATAGGTGTTGCAGTTTAGCTTCTCATCAGAGCAACCCTGATGTAATGTGCAACGATATTTGAGAGAATATTTGACCATGGTCAAAGAGGTAACTGATACTGCTGAGCCACCTGACTTTGTTGACAAGCCTGTTTGATAAGTTAAACCTACCTCTTGTGTGTTTTAGGTGAATCAAGCAGTTGGAGTTCAGACTGTAAAAACAAATTAGCATGTACTCAGCTCTATTTGCAGTAGATGATGTTATTTTTGAAGATACTGGGACATACTTGCTAGGGTGGCAACTTTGTTCATGGACTGGTGAGAGAATCTAGTCTGTTCTTCCCTGCAGTTATCTTTCTTACTCCACGAGAGCTTTCCACATCCTTCCACATCTTCCAGCACGGAATAGCCTTTCCTTTATGGAAAGATAGCGTGCATCTTCAGAGTCTCTGGGGGTTTGTGTGTGCATGCAAATATTTTGGTAACTGCTCTACTTTTTGTCCTGAGTAGATTTGTTTTATTGCTTAATACACAGTGGACCCTCTGGATATGAACTTAATTCGTTCCGGGGGTCCTTACGTACCCCGAAAAGTCCACAACATGAGGCGCCATTTCTGTGCACGCGCGTGGTGCGCAGAGCGCTTCTGCACATGTACGTGCTGTGAAACCCGGAACTATACACTTCCGGGTTTGCCACATTTGCAACCCAAAAGTTACATTACCCAAAGGTAATGTAACTCCAGGGTCCACTAGATGACAGTTGAACAACTTTTGCTATAGGATTACCAAAGTGTGTTGAAAGAGTGCTTTGAAATATTTGAAAATATGAGATCCTGTTGCTGAATACACTAAGACAGGAATGAAGGACTCCCATCATCCCTGGCTATTCACCACACTACCTACAGCTGATGGTATTTGGGGTCTAACAACTTCTAGGGGTTCACAAGTTCCTTATCCCTGCATTGTGGAATGTATCACAAGTTCTTCAACAATACTTTCAGGAGCTTGGTTTTTTATGCACATCTCTTTAAGAGTCATCTATAAATATTGGCATTTTTCTGTGTGGTGTCAAAATTCTCTTGGCCTTTGTGGACACCTGCCTCTGTTTTCTTAGTACCTTCTCTGTTAGCGTCTTACATATGCAGGTTTAGACATGTTCATGCACATGTTGCTTTAATGCCTGTCTGTTCTTCAGGGTGGCTTTCTAGTAAAATATGATACATACTTGTGTAAGCATGTTTCCATGTAGTTTCTGCAGGCAAGGATGCCTTCAAGTGAAATGAGGTTTAAAGATAGATGTACTCTTTGATCTTTTAGGGTTGGCTGGTTGCTTTAGAATGGCAACTCTGTCATCTCACTTCCCATATTTTACAAAATCTCGGGGGCTTTGTCTTTGAAAAATGCTGATTGTAAGTTAATGTGACTCTTCTCATAGCTGAACTGATCTTGTGTTAAAACAATGTTCTGTTCTAGTAACAATGTTCTGTTCTAGTGGTCTCTCCCCCTTCCACTAAAAGCTGCAGAAATATGTACCAACTTCCTCAAAAAACTGGTTGCTCAGACTTAACAACTTGAAATTTAGAGCAGTTGCGGGATCTTTCTAAGAATAGGTTGAAGTGTTAGGAGAAATGCAAGTAAAGGCAGAAATACTTTATTCCAGAGTGTCTTTCATCAAAGAATATTTCTGATATATGTATACCATTCCATGAAGAAAGTTATTCCTACATGGGAACCAATACTTGCTATTGGTTCCCATGTCAAATGTGATAAAACAAGTTCAGACTCATTTTATAATTTGAAATGAAGACTTTGTGGTTGCCTTTCCATCTTGTTGAAGTATCTTAATTAAGTATTGGTTAATTAAGTGTTAATGCCTTGGCTTTTAGATTGTGAACCTGAGAGCAGGGACCTTCTTGTTACTGAGATTTGTCACACACTGTGGGACTCTTTCTTGGAGGAAGAGCAATGATAATCTTTTACCTTTGTATGTACATTCTGAACTTTATTTGATACAGGAGGGCTTCAAGCTTTAATTGCACTACCTTCATCAATTAATCAATAAGAGCTTTAATAGCAGGTTAGCTTCCTCCACGAGAGGAAGAGATGTGAGTGAATGTGTTTAATGTGTATTTATACCGAGCAAGTAAGGAATTCAGCATATTTGATGTCTACATTCAATGACAACTCGTATGGCTGTGGATTGTATGTGCATGTTATCTCTTATGTAATGCTATCTTAATACATGCCAGACTTGTTTTGCCAATACAGGGCCTTGTATGCTTTTCTATTTAATTTTGACTTGTTGACAACTGGGTAACCCTATATGATAGCTGAAGGTGAAACGTGTTAAAATACACTGCCAGTATTGCAGAACCAGCACATTCCAATGAAATCAGCATAGTTTACTTAAGACTATCAAAGTGCCATGGGGAAGTATTTGGCTTTTATTTTATTTTTTAAGTTCAAGCTTTCTAAATGATAGATGTTTCAACAGTGTTTAAAATCCTGAGAATGCATGATAGTTTTGCGAAAAGGTAAAGGCAAAGAGAGAGAGAATGCCTATTTTTGGAGCCCCTAACTCTAGAAATTTCCATAAAATCAATATCCATAAAACCAGAAAAATATAACTCGTACATCACAAATGTTATCGGCCTTACTGCAGAAGTATATAACTGTTCTGAAATTTCTCTCTTCTATAATTAACATGTTTGTGTTCCAATATATGACACCATGCTTATTTCAACCCTTTGTTTTCTAGGGGAAGCAGCAGTGACTGAAGTTCCCTTTGCGTTGGTGATTATTTCTGCCTGCAGCCTTTTAGGCTTGGTACTTCTCCTTGTGAACTGTGTATCCTGTTGTAAAGATCAAGAGATAAACTTCAAGGTGAGTACAGGAGATAATTATTTGTATCCCTTTAGTACTGGAACCTGATAACACAGACGTGGAA